TCCTCGTTCATTCCAAAAATATTCACACGGAGTGAAAAAATGCGTTCTCTGCGTCTCCTTGCTTCATTTCGATGTCTCCTTCTTGCGACAATAACCGCTGCCATGTGTGCGCAATTACGCATACAGACCATTTGCACCTTCTTTTGAAACGTGTTAAATATAGAGTCAGATACCGTTAGCAAAATTGCTTTCAGGTTTGATAAATCACTTTGCGAGTGCTAAATTAATATATTTATATGTTCTCCTCCCACAAGACGCACTTTTGCGTGTAAACGCCGCATATTGCATATTCATTGCAGAAAAAGTACTAAATGGATAAGAGGGGCTATTTAGCACGTTTTAAAGACCAAATCCTTTTAGCACGCTGTTGATAGATCAGTTTGTACATTTTTTAGCGTGTGCAGTGAAATAGCTCACGTTTTTATACACGCAAACCTTTGATAGATCCGGCCCAATATATAAATAGATTGTGCCCATTTATTTGCAATTGTGCTCTTTATTATTCACATTTGCGATTTAAAAAAAGACAGTTATTCTCTAAAGTCCTTTTGTATTGCTCCTTACAATGTCTGTAGTCTATTTTCTTGATCTTTTTTTTTTTCATTTTGCTTTTCAGAGATATTTTTCACTTTGTCAACCACACTGACTTCACTTGTTGAAAGGAGGAGGTGGTAGGAAGAGGGACAGGGGTCAGCATCCCCCTCCTTGGACATTTTGTGCAAAACATTACCTATTGTCACTCATGTGCAATACTCTTCTCTGTGCAACAACACATGCCAACTACTGTGTAACCTGTGTAATTGTTTGACCTATTTATAAGGTCAGTGCATCTCTGCTGTACAAGTGCAATAATCCAAGTCAACTACTGAGTATTCTGTATAATTTTTACTTATTTATATTGTTAGTACATTTCTGCAGTGTAAGTGCAATAACCCAAGTCCACTACTGTGTAGTTTTCCCTTACAGTAGCTCCACTGTGTATATATTTTATATATCTAAAGGAAAAATATTCAAGGGCATTACAACTTTGTTATGCTTTTTATATTGTCTGTTGCATTTTTATCTTTAATGACATCTTCCTTTAACTCTGCCCTTTGTACTCTATATTAGCTACTGGAACCAGAATTTCCATGAAGGAGTAATCTCAAGGGATAACTAAAGTTGAGTCTAGGTCTAAGTCTTTTGTCAGCAAAAAAGTATTTTAGACTTGGAAAGGAATTCAAAGAAAGACAGACACCCCAAAACATCAGTTTACTGGTCAGCCATAAAAAGGAAAACCTATGACTAACCCTAACCCTTCATTTAATAATTTTGAGGAGCCCTATGTTTTTTCTCTTCACAGTTGGGTTCTGATTTTCAGTGAAAATATGATGACCCTATGAGAAGAAACTAAAGGACTTTTCTGGAAATATCTACCATGCATTAGAGAATGCTGTATGAACTTTTAAAGCTCTCTTTTCATTATTTTCTTAGGTCAGACTTTTGATGGCGATAGAATAGAAACACAAAATATTGATCTGAGTAAGGTGATTCTTATTGTATTTCTTTTTATTAAATTTCCAATTTTGTTTTAGGAAAACAAATGTCAGCTTATGCATAATTATTCACATATAGGGTAAATGGCATCACCTCTTGTACTTCTGATTTACTACAGACTCTGTTGTGACATTTAGGGGTATTACAGTTGAAGGAGGAAAAAGATAAGCTACTCTATAAACAATGCTAGAGTATGAGCTTTGAGGGAACTTGCAGAGCTAACCTGAGGTCATGACTTTTCAGAAAAAAAGGTGCCATGATCTGGGTGTTTGTGTATGAGCTTATGTAGTGTTTTCTGGAAGCTGCAGCTATCTGGAGGGGTTGGTGAGCTGATTACTGATGCACACCTGAGCCTAGTTATTGGATCACCTGCCGGGGCTTATAAAGAGCTGGCTGCTGATCATGCTTTGGCTGATTGTTAATCCAAGTGGTACCTCAACCTGAATCGAACCTCATAGAGTGATTTCAATCCCTGTATAGTTCTTTCTCTTGGAAAGTAAGATTATTTATTTAATTTAGATTAATGTATTTTATTCATTACAAAAAAGAGAATACAAGCAATAAAATTTAAAACAATTTAATGAAAAGGAGCAGAAGAACGCCCCCTTAACCCAAATAGTTAAGCTAATAATATTTACATAATAAATAATAATACCTCAGCTGCAGCCCAAACACTGGCTGTCCAAAATAAACTAACCCAGTTTTTAACATTGTGTCTCATATGTTTTCTAAACACTGTAATAGATTTAGCTGTTTTATTATTTTTATCCAGGCTGTTCCATACAATGACTTCATCATTTTTTTAATCACTTTTTAATAGTTATTTGTAAACTACTCTTATGAGATTTGTACATTAAATTCTGTACTGTGGTGTCAAAAGTACACACATCTGTTACTTAAGTAAAAGTTGAAGTATACACTGCACCTCTTTACTCAAATAAAAGTGAAAAAGTATGGAATTGAGAAAGCTTCCTGAATGGGAAGCGAAACGTCTTCAAATCTTGGCAACCAAGTCCAGTGGATTGTTTTTCAAACTTTTACGGAATGACTATGACCTGGATGACTGAGAATCTTCATCAGGAGGTGTTTATGCATTCATGTTATACATTGAATTCTTAAATAAAAAAATGGAAGTGTTTTTTTGAAGTAGAGTACAACAATCTTTCAGTTTGGTATTTAGACAATTTCCTGCTTCATATGTTTTATAAAACACCTGAATTGACCGTTTGTTTTCTTTCTTTCATGTTTAGATCTTAATGAGAGCAGTGGGCTTTATGCTGCCCTGCAAGGCTTTAAACCTGGGTTTTAATGGAGACTACTGTAAGCCATTCTCAAGCACATATCGAGGTGCTCATTTTGAGCCTGGATCCATATTTATTTTTGATTATGCACATGGTGTAGAATCCTGCTTCACAGCAGAAGGCTGAGCCTAACATACTCGAAATGTGCAGGGTCTTGTCCGGCCAGGTCAAGATCGACTATTGCAATAACACCAAACAGGAAAAAGAATGGCGAGAAGATGCGGTTTCTAAAATTAAAATATAGTAACAACAGATCTGTAACTCCATCTCGAGCAGCAGCAGCGCGTTGGCGGTGCGTCAGATGCTTAAACGCTCCCGACGCACTGCACCTGCTGCTCAAAACGCGCTGCGGGACCTTTTGCTGCACCTATACGCGCGTCAACCATTGACTTTGCATGTAAACTTGCTGCTTCTGCTGCACCTGCTGGGTCCGGTTCACACTGATGTCGAGCGGTTGAACAGCGAGCACAGCGTTAATTTGTTTCCCCATGTTTTTCACATCAGCTGTGAGATGGGCACGCATGGAGTCACATATTAACAGCGATTGTGAGGGGTGGAAAAAAAACACCTGGTCTCCTTACATTCAGCCACTCTTTCATCATCTCCTCAATGAGGTGGTCTCAAAAGTCGCAGTTACAACACACATAAGGCGCACCGCACCATAGGGCGCACCGCACATTTTGAGGGGAAAAAAAGACGTTTAAGTGCGCCTTATAGTCGTGAAAATACGGTACAAATTAGAGCATAATTCTTATATATCTCAAAAAACGAACATGGTTTATTTAAAAGATTGGATGCAAACTATTGGTATTTCAACAGACCAGGAAGCAGATTTCTCATCTCCATCAGAAACCACACATATGCTGGATGCAGATGGGTTTTTTTCTTTACCGGTATATGTCATATGAAATTAAGCGTTCATTTCTGCATGTTTTGCTCCTACAAATTTATTGATAATATTGTGCATGCTCTCCTCGAGCTCCGAGGATAAGTCAGAGTGCAGCAATACGGGAGGAACAGCGGAAGCTGTAGGCTTTGCTTTGCACAGGAGGTCTGGAGCGCTGCGGGGTGGAGCATGACAAAGGATGCGGGATTTCAGGGTAACAGGAGAAGCGGCGCAAGTGACGTTTAGACACTGTTATCAGACAATATGCGGTAATTTATAAATGTTTAAAATAAGGTTGGGTCCACATTAGTCAGCAGGTGGGTCCGGATCCGGACCGCAGTCCTCTATCTCTGCATTAAACCAAAGCCAAGAGTAACGAGTAACGTTTGTTTTAAAAATATAAGGAATAGAAAGTAAAGATACTTGTGTGAAAATTTAATGAGCAGAAGTCAGAAGTAGGAGGAAAATTAAGTAATGGAGTAAAGTATAGACACCTAAAAAGTGTACTTACGTGCAGTAACAAAGTATTTGTACTTCATTACCTGACACATCGTAATCACTATATACTGTACTATAATGTTACTGCTGATTGAAAATATAATGTGCCAGACCATAATTTACAGTTCTGTGAGAAGGCTATCAAAGTATGAAGCACATATTTAAATAAACCGTTAAAGTAATAAAAAGGCCGTCGTTTATTAGTTTTGGAATTTTCCTTTTTCTAATTTAATTAGAAATAACAGGAAGTTTATTATTCTTTTCTAATTTTTTTTTTGAAACAGAAAAAAAAGAAAGAACTAACCGTACATTTTATTTATTAGTTTCTCAGTGTTGGTCTTGTTTCTATTCTCTGGATTCTTCCACAAGGTCTTCCACTTCCATTCCATAGTTCTACAGCTACCTTCCTTCCATAAAGTCACAATCCTCTGAAATCCATAATCAGAAGAGCCACCAGCTCCTTCCACACCACTTTATAGCGAACCTGACCACCCTCTAAAACAATGTGCCAAAGCCTTCTAGCTGTCTGTACGCCCCAAAAGCCTTACCTTCCCCACTGGATTCAGTATTATGCCTCCTCCAATGCCAATGAGCATCCTGAGAACCACCTACATCTACTTCTTTAGTTGATAAACTCTGTTTAAACCACTTCTGGTCTTCCTGTGTTTGGCTCAGAATGCTTCTTTACTACATTTCATAACAGACATAACTGTGTTGTTTGCAAAGTTATTTTGGTTCGAATTACATTTTAATTTGTAATATTAAGCCAAAAGCCTTACCGTTCACATTGCCCAAGTGAAAGTATCCATCAACCAGCGAGGCCCCATTGTTGAAATGTTGGGTCATGTGATCCAGCCAATTGGCCTCCACACCTTTGATGCCATCTTCATAGCTCTGCACTCGTAGAGGCACTTTGACAGTGTAGTATTTTACCTGGCCCTCTCGAACTGGCGGGTTGTTAAACAAAGCCAGCAGTTCCACTCCTGTTGAAACAAGACAAAAAGAAAAAACAATATTTTCAAACACTTATTTAATTCAGGAAGTTGTAGCTTCTGTGGACGGTTTACTGCCAACATGAGGCACTACTTCACATTGGGCAAAATCCAAACTCCAATCTGCAGTATGTCTCTCTGGGAAGACTCTTACATGCAAAATGCTTCTCTAATTCTCTCAATAAATGGCTGGCTCCTATATAGTGGAGCTTTACTCTAAACATATCTAAGAAAACTAGTGCAGTTTGAGAGTGATTTACTAAGATATTTCTGCAATACTTTAGAATAATATGTGGGAATATGGTAATATGCCAGTGGGTAAAACATGCCAATTTTTTTTTTTCTTCTGAGGATTTTGGCCAAAATGTGAACAATTACAAACGACACAGCCAACAAAAAGTTGGCCAGACTCTTCCTAGTATCCAGTCATGAGCTGCAAACAAGTGTTTCAATGTTATTAAGTCAACTTTAAACACCATTATGAATGAATGATGTGAAACGTGTTTTGTTGATGCTTCATCATTTATAAAAAAAAAAACCTTTATATTGACAAAAACAAAATCAAACCAATAAAAATACAGGCCCTTACTTATAAAAGCATAAAAAAATACACAAATATATATTAGCTCAAATGTAAATTTGATATTCTTGGCACACTTTAAACACTGATGTAACTACCTGTGTGTTCCTGGTGCTTTTAGAATGGCTAGTGCAAACAATTTGAAAACTGTCCTTATAAGCAGCTACGCCTGTTTTCTTGAAATTCAGAAATCTTTGGCTCTCTCTTTCTCTCTCAAAGATTTCTTGCCAACACATACTGTTAGTAAAGATGTCTCATTTATGCTCAAAATTCAAATCTACAAAAGATATTTCCAGTTTCTCCAAAGGCTTTTGCAATAAAAAAGCAAAATAAAAAAATGCTTACAGTAAAGTAGGCTGTGGCTTGTCTTATAAAACCTCAATTTGACCCTGATTATATATTACATGTCAGAGGTTAATTACCTCACATATCTAAAACTGTATGGTTGTTTTTTAATTTGATAACATAGTTATTTAGTAATTACTGTTATTAAAAAGAAATAAATGCAGTTGATGCTTTGCTTTATTTTAACAGTTAAATGTATCACAAGGTTGTACAACAGATGGTTTAAGCAAAAAAAAGTGAAGTAACCTGATTTTGTACTAAAACAAACCAGACTATGATATTAGGTTTTAGTCCAAATGAACCATATCAAAACATTATAGGTACTGCAAATTTGTGATTTTTTTTTTTTTTTTTTTACATTTTTTTTAGCATTGGATGCACCACTGAACTGTGTTACAGTTATTGAAAATTGATCAAAACAGACTCAGGATTATTCTATACCATCCTAATGGGTAACAGGACCTTTTTATTCCAATAGCGCCGATTCACAACACACATTATCTCAAAGCACTTTACAGAGACAATTCAGTCAGATTATACAGTCAAATTGGTTTAATGTTTTCTAAAACCAGCTGATTGCATAGGCATTGACTTGAATATTATTAAGTAATTTACTTCATATTTCTCTAAATGACCCTTTCTTGACATAAATCATAAATATATTAATTTAAATCTAGTGCGGTTAATGTGATCACATTAGTTTTGCAGTTCTCAAGAGTAGGCCGGTGCATTCGATGAATTATGTTGGCAGTGCTTGAGCTTGTCAAGAGGTAGAGTAACCCATCATGTGGTGAGGTTGATTAAACATTTTTCAAGACATAAGATGACATAATGGGTATGGATGATTTTGCCACTGTCGGGAAACGGGGTTAAAATGTTGAATTTGGAGGGATTAAGTGAAGCACAAATTATATTCAGTCACAGTCCTCAACATTGTTCTGGATCATCAGTGTACGGTAATTATTCCAGACTTAATGTATCACCTCGAGAGGTAAAGTAACACGTTGTCAGTTAAATGGTTAATATTTGGATAGAAAAGGTGATTCTTGATTTGATCATTTAGCATTATAGGCAACTATCTTAGCAAACATTGTTTATTTAGATTTATCTATCATGTCACTGCATATCAAGTGTTTTTGGTAAATAATTTTGAAAGACCTATATCATCTTCAGATGTAAACTCAGCTGGAATTATTTAATAAATTATCAAATAAATTCTGCCTTATCTTAAGGACTTCATATAAAAACAAAAGCATTTTATTTTTAAATAAGATACAAATGATACTAAATGTCTAAATCAAAGTAAGGCAATCAAAATAATTAATAGAAAGTTGGAAATATCTTTGTTAGTAATAGTGAACAATGTCAATATAATAACTCAATATTATATCCTTGCTTTAACATTAAGACAACAGATCAAGTATTAAAAGTGTAAATAGTCAATTGATAAAAATGTTATCTTTTTGAGACGGCATGTCAAAAATTGAGGTAGGAACAAAAGCTCTTTAAATATATCTAGAAATGCTTGCTTTATCTAATTAAATATTTCAAGAAGGAGGCGATTTTTTGGGGGCATAACAAAATATAAAATAAAGATAGTACAAAAGATTTGAATTGATAAAGGGAAAAGAAACACAATCTTATAGCAGCCATTTGAAATGATCCATCATCTTTAGTAAATTATCTTGTGACAATTTATATGATATCCTGAGAGTTTATTTAAAAAAGGCAAAATTCTTCATATTAAAATAATAGAAAAAAACTGCAATATTAAAAAGTGCAAATTAGGTAGAAAAAACAAAAAACTTTTATTAATCTTAGAGTCATTTAAAATATCCTGAGGGGGTAATATTTGGTGCCTCCTTTAACAACTTATAAGGGTTCATATTGAGAAGAACCTTTATTGAAAAAAACAAAAGAATGCAGCAAATCTGAAATATTATCTCATTACGTCTATCTTTATACAATAGTTTATTTTTCAATCAAATATTTATCTTCTTTTGCATAAACATGGAAAGGAACTTTTATACAAACATTTTAAATCAAGAGGGAAAAAAAAAAGATCCACTTTTGTTATTGTCATCTACAGTATCTAGCTTGGTCTGGTTGCTTTCAAAATATCCTGAGAGATTCATATTTCTACCAGAACTTTCAGCCGCCTACCATTATGTAAAGAGAAAACATAAAAATCTTACTTTGTTCAGGAGAGAAAGAGTTATATATTTATTTGGGGCATTTAAATTTGCCTGATGTATCCACTTAATCATCCAGTGGCTTCTGACCAACGTGTGGAACCTCATAACTCAAGGAGAAAAATGACCTTTCTAGAATAATTACATAAATGAAATAAGCACACATCAAAACAGTATTTATGTAGGCCCCTTAAGTATCAAGCAATGCCTGCATGCTGCATTGTTTTCTTTAGTCAAACTTATGCTGCCTGATAAATGAGTTGATGTTGATGAAATAATTTTGCATGCAAAGCTCTATAGTAAGAAAATGTGACAAGTGTGAAATAAAACACAGGATGAAAATAAATCCAAGATCAGATTTATGACGCACCAAGCCTGACTCACAAATGCAGCACAAATCTTTTTGAAGGGTTTTGCATTCTCAGAAACAGATGTAAAATGAATCAAAAGCAATTTGATCGTGTTCGGATAACAAGTCATCCTCTGCTTCCCTTTTAATGTTGTCTATAAGTGATATAAGACTGCAGATATACAAAGTAAATAGGACAGTTTTACTGTAACTGAAATAATTCCCATCAAAAATTCAAATAAAGCATAAAAAGATCACTGCTAACTGCTTTTTACATTTAGTATAAATGTTCATATGCAGTAAGCTTCTTGAGATACAGTAGAAAGCGTCTTGGAAACCTTTTGAAAGTTTGTCACTGTTTTGCTCGAATCCTATTAAAATAAAGCTCAAAAGCCTTTTAGCTGTTGTGATGTGAGTCAAATATTTGCTGTGTTCAGCTTTGAAAAAGCACAAAACGTGAGATGTGAGGAAGGTTTGGATCTGTGAGAAAACATTGCCAATCGTGCCTGGTAACATTTTCCCATTTTCTTCCAATGCAAATGTCAGACTGTCATTCCCCAAGTGAACCAGATGGATGAGCAGAATGTGTGACGCTGCCACCCACTCAAAGACACCAACACATTCCGGTTTTGGATGGTGACGTTTGGTAATGGAACCATTGCTCCATCAATTTGGTTCCTCTGTCTGTCCATCCGTCAGCCAGCCAGCCATCCAGGAAGAATGAATCATTTATAACCATTTCTTCTTTGGCTCCACAGACCGATGTGACAGCTGGCCCTTCTAATTCCTTAAATGTTTTTCATTTGCCCCTCTTGAAAAAAAAATTCAGACCAACAGCTACAGGGGAAAATCCTGACGGTATTCTCTCAATGCTAACAATGTTACAACCAAACAATATGGAGAACAAATCTTAGAAAACACAACAGTACTCTGTTTCAATGTGCCTCGGAATTGCCAGAACATCCCGTTGGTGTCCTTGCTTTCTGATCTGCGTAATGTTTACCAGTTTATTGCAGCATACATTAAGTGCACCAGTTAGAGCTCCCACATAATTTTAAAATTAAATTGTGTTTCCATTTTAATAAATATGGGCCAGGTTTTATCCAGTGCTTCAAGTCCCTAATGGAGGAAAGTGGATATTAGTTGTTGTGAAATGTGCTAGACTTCATTAATTCATTTACATATTAAGCAATATGTACATGACTCTAATGGCTGCTTTGGGAAAGAGTGAAACATCTTCTGGAAGAAGATATCAGTTCCAAACTTCTCCTTTATCCAAGCTTAGGACCAGTAAAATATACCACATACAAACATTCTGCTAGGGTTACATTGGTAATTTGCTTTTTAATTTATCTGCATAGATTTCCAGAGTGTGGTTTAGTTTTAACTAACATTTTGCTAAACAAGTTTACCTAAAATGAAACAACAAAAGGTAAAAGCAGCAGTAATGAGGCTTTTTAGTTCCACATCTGAAATGTTTACAAGAACTGCTGTATATTGATTCTGATGTCTGTAGGCATTTTGG